CCCCAAAACCCCAAAACCCCAAAACCCCAAAACCCCACACAAATAAATAAACCTGAAGAATTAAACCAAGCCAAAATGGACTCTTTACCTAAATGTGAAATGTCTCCTTATTGTGGAGATATAGCTTGACTTGTTAAGAGCACGGAGAATACTCCTTTTGAAGATGATATGTGCGTTTGTGCAGTGTGTGCTAATACAATTTATGCAGATGAAGAGATCGAAGTTATTACTAATGCAAATGCGATAGAAGATACGATTAGAATTGGTACGTGTTAGACTCAGGATATATTTGATAATTTTGGCAAAGGAGCTTTAAGTTTTTATTTCAGCCAACTTATTTTGTCATCAGGCTTGAATGGAGTTAGAGACTAAGCTAATTCTCCAATTTTTCTATTAATCTAAAGCACCATATCCTTCTTTATACAATTTGTAACCTTTATCTAACCTTCTTGATATAGTAGATCATCACTTAAAGAAAATAGACAGATTTAGAGAGAAACATAATCTGAATATAGTGTGGGAAAGAATCATCCCTGAGCTTACAAATTTCATTAAGAAGAAGACTAGCCTTCAAGCTAGACTTCTCATTATTAAGAAGAAAGATATGCACGGTAACCTAGACAAGCTGCAGTATGATGCAAAAGATCTTTTGAACACCATTTACAAGTCTAACATCATGAAGCATTACTCGAGGCAGTTGCAATGTAGACAATTTGCTGAAGATCTTTATGGAGATGTAGTCGACATAGATACCAGGAGCGCGAATGCTAAAACCAGTCTCAGCACACTGAATGAGAAAGTTATTGAAGTCAACATCGAAGACCTCAAGAGGGAGTTTGCTGAAAATCCTTACTTAACTCAAGAATACCAAGCTCAGCTAGATGCACTAGAGGAGGAGAAAGCTAGCTTTGAAGAATCATTGGAAGCCCTTATCCAGAACTCACAAGAGATCGATTCCAAGATTGAAACTAGAGATGAAGAGCTTAGATGCTTTAAAGAGAAATTCATCAACTTTGAAGAAGAGGAATCTAATCTTAGTACTAAAGCTGACAAAATATCAAACGAATATAACAGCCTTGTAGATTTAGCTTTTGAAGCAAAGGAACCAATCAGCTTCTCAGAATATGCAGATATCTGGGAAAATGTGTCTGGAAACTATTGCTCCTGGGGCGAATCAGATGAACTAGCCTTTAATATGAGCTACGATGAAAAGGTTGAGGTACTTAAAGCTCTGTTGAGCAAGAAACTGCCAAACTTCAGCAAGGTACATTTAGAGTCTTTTTAGAAATGAAAAGTATCCAATATAGTGCTTTAGTGGAACATTACCAAAGGATACATCTCTAGTTTTTCTATTTTAGAGTCATCTGAATAAAGAAAAACAATGATAAAATAAGAGTTCTTTCTATAGATAAATTTAGCATTTCTTAAGTGGTATAGATTTTAATGAAAATTTTCGTCTTTTTATACCAATTCTCAAACATTCTGAGAAGAAACTTTAACTCAATGCTTAAATGATCTTTAAACGCCCTTCCCTGCTAGAGATATCAGCTCCAGTGTCCCAAAAACTTGGAATATTTAGCCTTAAAAATTCCTGAATTTATACACCTTAAACTCATTTTAGCCCACTTTAGTATTACAGAAATTTTTTGATTCTCTAAAATGATCAGCTACTACTCAATTAACTCCTGTACAAACAAAAGATATACAAAATGCCTCGCTCATTGATGCTTCCTTATACTGAATCCATTAGGCTATCGGAGTTCTAAAGATTAACGTCGGCTATATTACAATTTAGAGTGTTAGCAATGGAGCAGCTGAGACCAAAGTTTAAAAAAATTAACCCAAAGCGGAGCAGAGTTCTTTCATCTACTCCCCCAGTTGTACTACGATATTCTGCTGACTAAATACCTTCCCTATCTGCCTCTTTCAAGACTTTTTCTCAGGTATTAGGTTCCATTAATAAACCTCCACTATTCCTCCTCTATCTTACATCAACGGAGTAAATCTCGACACTCTGAACTCCAAGTGTGCCATTCTACCCCTTTTCCACTTCATTCCCTTCCTCACCCGCCTTATAGGTAATGGTATACAACTATTCTCTATTCCAAGAGCAAGAACTAATCGATACGTTCCTTAAGGGATCTATCTCAAACCACAACGAATATTTTGTGTATGGAAATCTGGAACTTCCCGAACAGCCTGGTGAGGCTCACATTGAAGCTCTTAAGAAAGCAGTAGCCAGGGTTCCACAGATTTTACAGTTTGATAGATTGCATCTAAACAAGAAGGAATTCGAAGATCTCATGATAGCATCTAAGGGATGCAATGAAATAGTCTTTGATAGATGTAAGTTCATTTTATATCATTACTTATATTTTCGTTCTCAAAGTTTATCAAGTTTCTAATTTCAGACAAAATGATCAATGCTGATCACAACTGGGGCTATAATGGCCAATAGTGTGTTGCATTAAATAAGCTTGGTGGCACACTCTTCTTCTAAATTTTTGATAAAGACTAATTTTTTATAGGCAAGCTAGCTATTGAGGGTTCAGATGAATGTGACTTTGGAGACCAGCTTGATGATTTTGCATTTGAGATTATCAGATTTAATCAAACACCTGGGTTAAATTACTCGAACTTTGCTGGTAATGCTTTCAGAGGGCTCAGAAATATATTTGCAGGTTTTGCCAAAGTTAAAGGATTCAAAGAAAAGCCAATTAAGCTTACTTTTTCAGATAGCGAGATAGAATCAGAAAAAATTGATGCAATCCTTGAAGAAACTGGATTGACCAACATCAACTTGAATAACTACTACTAGTCTGAAAATCATATCAGAACATATTTCAAGTATAAAATTATAAAAAGGGGTTTTGGGGTTTTGGGGTTTTGGGGTTTTGGGG